TTTGCAGTGTTGTCATTATATTTTGTGATTTACCTTCGTGTTTAACCAAAATCCTGCATCACAAAATGTGTTGGTCTTTTTAGAAAATGACTGTCATTCCCGGTTGTGGGCACCTTTATGTTAAGGAGGCTCTACCATCTGACAATGATGAGGACTACTGTCTCATCTATCTAAACTTTCTGCCAAGGAAAGTGACAGCCGCAAACTCCATTAAATGCGATGAATATAGTCGTTCAGTGCATTAGAAGTGCGTTATGGTATGCGTACTAGCTACTTCACATGCAAGCATTATGCTTTTGTTAGCGATGAGCATAGTGTGAAAACGTGTCATCATTTTTGTTCTTTATCCCGGCAAATTCTCTTAAAATAAAGAAACTTTCATTTCTTCTTTATTTGTGTTGGTTTCCTTTAATATTTTTCCATTTTTAGCGGATTTTTCAAGGGTGCCCACAACCGGGTACAAAATTTTTTTTGTCAAAAAATTCCCATTTCACTAAATTTCTAATAAAACTTTTTTATTTAAAGGAATCAATTTAATTCCTTCACTGACAGTCACCTTAGACCTCTAGCTTTAAATTCGTACACATATATTTGAATAATATGCACATGGACAAATGTTATGAGGCAAAAACAAAAGGGTGCCCACAACCGGAACACTTCCCTTATATAAAAAACTATTAAAAATTAATTTTTTTAAAAACAATAATTAATACTTTGTTTCACGAAGAAGATTTTGGTATTTTAAAATCGGTCAACTGGATTTCGATAAAATTTTTTTTTTATTTAAGACTACAAAAAAACTAAATTGTTAATAACATTAACAACTAGGATAGGAATTCTAGTAGGCTGCTCGCACAATCATGTTCTATTCTATTTTATTAGTCTGTCTCCTTCTATCTCATTAGAAACGTATCGGACATACAGCTCCGACAATCCTTGTGCGAGCAGCCTTAAGGAGGATCCCTCATGAGAAGTGAGCAAAATATGTCAAAATTCAACATTTTTTTCTCGCTTATTTTATCATAAAATTTAAAAAGCCTTTTTGCATAATAAATAGTATAACTTAAAGTATTAAAAACAATTAAAATTTTGAAAAATTTTATATTATGTTAGGGTGTAGAGGGCGTCATAAACGATGCTTTTATTTTGAGGCGCTTCGCGGCTGCATGTCTAGAGCCGCCCCCAGTGCTCTAAAACAAAAAACTACAAGAGCTTTTACAGATGGGGTAATAATCTAGTGGTTATACCTAAAATTACCTTAAAATATCAAAATTTAAAAAAATAGCACCACTTTTAACAAAAAATTGAAAAATTACATTTTTTTTAAAAAAAGTATTAAAAATGGTTTTTTATTTAATTTTTTAGGTATACCCACTAAAGAACATATTTTTTAACAATATGCAAAAAGAATTAGACAGAAACATCCATCCGTTAACTCAGAATCCCTGCAACCGATTTAAAAAACAGCGTTTTGAGAAAAACGCAGTTAAAGTTTTAGTAGGAGAGACCGGGGCTTAATGAATCACTTCAATTTATTCAAAAGTGATAAGTCAGAGTAATTTCGGTTTCCGATCAAAATAATGTACTTGGTATACTGTAAGTTTGTACCAAATTTCATTGTTATTCATTTATTATTGTTGAAAATAAGGTATGAGCATTCAAATTTTTTTTTCAAAACGTAAAATTTTTAAAAATTCGTATCTTGTAAACAGCTGGGTAAAAAAATTTGAAAAAAATTCTAAAGCTCTTTTTCAACGAGTACTAATAGATTAAAAATGTTTGATCCAAATAAAAAATGTGAATTTTGACGATATGTTGCTTTGGCGTGAAATGTCTCATATGTACTTTTATACAACTCAGGCGTATTATGGTCACTTTATCTACCTGTACAGGCGCGTACTAAGTTCCCCCTTATAACCCAGCAGTAAAAAAAAAACCATTGTAGCCCTAGGGAGATAAAGTGTACATTACTAATAGGGTACCCGAAATTAATCCGGAAAAATTCGAATTAGTCCGAAACAGTCAAAAAGTAGTCCGAACCATTTTGTGAATGTTAATAAAAAAATAATTATACAAGTTACACATATCAATTATTCTTACTTTATGGTACATTCAACATATTTTTCGATTTACCTATATCGCAATTTTATTTACATTAACTTAAAATTTCTAACACTTGGGGATTCGAACCTACACCTATCTAACATTATAACACGCCGAAATCAAATACACTAACCACTAAACCACGCTCGCATGGGAGTTCAAATTTATAATAGAATTTATGAAGTGCCACGAAAAGAAATTACAAGTATAATACGCAACTTGCAAATGTGAAATTATTAAATCCGGAATTAATCTGGTTTTGGTCAGGTTTTTGTCATACGAAATTATAATTATAGTTTGAATTTATCTACATTTAATACAAATTGTTATTAATATACAAATTCAATATTATACCAAAATCATTCCGGATTAAGTCTTTGAATTGGATTGAACATGGATTGTTTTGAACTGTCTGTGGATTGTATATATTTACAAATTCTTATAATAATAAGACTTATTTTCGGACTGGGGTGTTTTGATCGGATATTATTCGGATTGACGCTGACTATTACCGGATTCTTTGCATACAGATTTTGGATTGTTCCATACTTGTTTCGGAGTAAATCTTTTAACTGGATTAAATTCGGATTATTGCGGACTGATTTCATATTCTTTACATATTCATTTCTGATTATTTCGTATTTATTTTAGATGAGTTTTTTGACGGACATAATTTCGGATTGTTGCGTAATAATTACGGACTTAATTCATAGACATTTAAGATTTCTCCAGACTGATTTAGGATTCACAATTTCACTCGGATTGATGTTAGATTAACGCGGATCATTTTCGTACAATTATCGGACTAATCCACACTAATATACCAGCATTTAATCCGGATTAGTCCGAAATTTTTACCAGGGATTGTTTCGTATTTGTTTCGGAATACAGATTTCGGATTATACCTTTTAGTTGGATTAAATCCGGATTATTGCAGACAATTTTCGGATTCTTAGCATACAGATTTTGGATTGTTTCGTACTTGTTTCGGATTAGGATTTTGCCACACTTAATTTCAAATTGCGGACTTATTCCTTATTCTTTACATATTGATATCGGATAATTCCGTACTTATTTTAGAAGAATTCTTCAACGGTCATAAATTTGGATCGTTGCGGACTAATGACGGACTGAATTCGTAGACATTCAGCATTACTCCGGAGTGTTTTCGGATTCAGGTTTTCGTTCGGATTGATATCAGACTAGCGCGGATCATTTTCGGACCTTTTTCGTACAATTTTCGGACTAATACGTACTAATCTGTCTGTATTTATAATCCGGAATTTGTCCGGAATTTTTACCAGGGTTTCCAATAAAATGCTGCACAGCCACCATTTTTTAATAAAATTTAAAAAATATATTTATTTTGCACATCCATAATCATGAAATGGTCAATCAAAAATCTGTAAAGTACGCTTCATTACGTACTTTACAGATTTTTGATTGACCATTTTCAGAAAATCAAAAATTTTTAAAAATAGGTAGGGGAGAGGGCCCTAAGGTGGTCACCCATCTTTTGAACGACTGTAGATTTCAAATGGAATTATATTTAAAGGTCAATAATACGGCGTTTGAAACTTTATCTTATCACCTAACTTCCTATCATAAAGTTTTTTTCATTTCATTAATAAAAAAAAAGTTATGGCACTTTTTAAAAAAAGTTGAAAATTCGACTTTTAAAAAAGTGGCCCCAAGGTGGTCACCATACAAACATTCACTAAAAAAGTTTTAAAAAAATGTAAAAAACGTACTATTAAGTTGTTTATTTAATATTAATTGTTTTTCAGGATCACAGAAACATATTACATATTTTTTTTTGCACTCTGTCCTTTCGTCAAAAATGATACTTTTTGTGTATGTATTAGTCAGGTAAAATTTTGAAAATAATTCTATTTCATTATTATTCATCATAAAACTTAAAAATTGATAAAATTCACATTCACAGTGATAAATGTTGATAAATATGGCGTATAAACACATTTTCATAAAAAATCAAAAGTGACCACCTTGGGGCCAAAAAAGTGTCCACCTTAGGGCCAAGACACAATTTTTTAAACGTTAATAAAAAATTTTTTTAAAGCACAATATTAATTATATTCATTTGGAATACTATTGTACGATATATAAAGATAATTATAACGATTTTTACTAATTTAAAATGGTTAATTTCGATGCTTTTAACACCCTGAGAAAAAAATTTCTCGATCATTTAAAAACAGAAATTTTACGACGTTCACGTTACAAAGAGACTCATACGACTATTTACCTCAAAACTTTACTGAAATCTTTGTCTTCTCAAATAATAACAATAACAAAAAACATTTGAAGATACTAACTAATATACAACAATTTTCTTAGGGTGACCACCTTAGGGCCCTGACCACCTTGGGGCCCTCTCCCCTATGGTAAAAACGTTCTCCTATCTACAAAAACAAACTTTTTGATAAAATATAATTTTTTCCTCATATCTGTCGATAAATCTATCATAAAAAATATCTTAAATGTCAGGCGCAAATTTCATGTTGACTTGTGTTATCAACAAAACTTTGTGCTACTCATTGCGCTACTTGAAAATGGTTATATCTATAATCGGACACTATGATTTTTAAAATAATGAATAAAATATTTTTTATTGCAATATAATGTAAAATAATACTATTTTAATAAAATAAAAACTTAAGACATTCGTCCAGTATATTTTTTAAAGTAATTACCACAATGCATTATTATTTATTTAAAAAAAAACACAAAAATGTCCGACTACACCTGCACTTACCCGATGACATTTTAAATAATTTTTCACAGATAATTGTAATTCACGGCGATTTATAATCAGTCAGTAAATTTTTATTTCTAAGCTTATAAATCTTTAATTTCTCTATACGTATCATTTACAGTGCATAGTACAATCGTATTTACAATGGCTACAAGACAGTGATTGGACTCCAGTTTGCACAATATGTTCAGAAAATTTAAATGAAGGAGACTGTGTGAGGTTGATCTGCTATCATGTCTATCATTGGAGATGTTTGGATAAATTTGCAAGAAACTTACCAACTACAACAGCACCTGCAGGATACACGTGCCCTACCTGTCAATCACGAATATTTCCACAGTCAAATTTAGTATCTCCAGTTGCTGATGTACTTAGAGAAAAATTGGCTGGCGTCAACTGGGCAAGAGCAGGTCTTGGATTACCTTTAGTAAGCATTTTTCTATTTTCAGGCAAAATTTCTCATGTGTACCAACCTCAAATATACAGGTTATCGGAACAGCAAATTTTTGACAGTTTGTTTCAATATTATACAACAGCATGAAACAAATTTTTAACCTGTATGTTTCCTAAAGGTTTTTTTTCTACTCTTTTCAATTTTTTTAAACAAAAAATCAATCAAAAATATTTTTGACTTCTTTTAAGAAAGGACCCTTTTTCTAGCCTTAAAGTAAAGCTTAGGATGTATACTTTCAACAAGCGAAATAAAGAAAATTATGTTCTGTTTGTTTCTAAGATATTTATAATTAAATAACTAAAAATTAATTTAAAAAATTGGTAAAAATTATTTAAAAATACTTTTTATGGGATTCATTGGATGTGGAATTTAGAAAGCTTTAAAATGATTACTTCAAAAGTATTTTTACTTTATTTGTTTACAATTATATCATTTTTTATTAATTAATTAATATCTCGAATACGAAAAAATGTCATTTTTAAAAACTTTTTAATTTCAAAAGGGTAATCAAAATTCCAATTTTTAAAAGTAGGGTAGGGTGGGGCAATACTATTCTTGTTTGGATTTTTGAGTCTAAAAAATGTATTTAAAAAAAAATAAAAAAACCGTTTGAAAACTTGACTTCTTAGCTACAATTTTTCCATGTATTATTTTGCTGTAACTCGATTCTGTTCCGAACTACAGCGATTTTACGAATTTTTTTTTTATGTCGAAAAAAACGAGGGGCGAAACTATTCTTGCAGCTATTGACGATATAATACTAAAAAAAAATACAAAAATTAATTTGTTAATTGAAGGAGTTTTTCTCTTCCAATTTCTTACCATACTAACCTAAAAACAAGCACACACGAGCACACAAAAAATACACTTTTTCTTTCTTTCTTCTTAAATGACTTTTGGCGTAGCCGACTGTCAGAATTAAAAAAAACACTGTTTCGTAGTTTTTGCTGTCATCAGTGGGCGAATAGTTTTGCCCCAACCGCACATTTTTTGAAAAAACACTTGTAAAATTTTTGACCAATAGAATATCAAAAATCCATTATGATATTCGTGTTCAGCAGTAAATTTGACTTTAGAAAACACTTACCCGGTAATTTTTCCGACCGTTTATCACTATTTACAATGGCAGACTAAATGAGTGAAAACAAGTAAGTGAGTCTATCAAAATCACATTTAAGTACCTAACTCCTATGATAGATGGCGCCAGAAGCTCAAATGTGGCGTACAATGTTCATTTCACATGACAAGTATACAGAAAAAAGGGTCCATTTTCAAAACAATTTTTGTTTTTCAAAAAAGGTCAAATTTTAAATTTTTTTCTTGCTTTTGAAAGAACAGGAAAAAACCTTTAGAATGCATATAGGACAACAATTTTTTACATTGTTATGTAATAGCTATGACTATTTGAAAAACCTAAGGTGCTGTGGGGTGATGTGAAACATGGGGTCATGTGCAGCACTGCCGATTTCTGATCTGCAGTTTGATATTGAACAGAGCCAAGTATTGCCATTTGTTTGTGTCCTCAGTAACTTGTTTTTGATATACAGTAAGAGTATCTAACTATGAATCACCCCTAAGCGTGAGTGCGAGTGAGCGAACATTGAACGCCGCATAAGAGTGTCCTCTTCGCACTCGTGGACTGATGCATAGTTAGGTATTCTTACTGTATAACTCACGAGACAATGAAACTGAAGTTGTAAACGTTTGTTCGACGAAAAATATAATACGTAACAATTTCCCCGCTTCAGATACAATTTTTTTTCCACATTTATTATAGATACTAATATTAGAAGCCATTAGAAATTATTTTCAAGTGAAACCAGGTAGGGGAGAGCAACGATTTTGATTTTTGTCACGGATTTTTGAAAAAATCCGCGACAAAAAATCAAAATCAAAATCTGAATTTTCGAAAAATCCGTGACAAAAAAAATGTCAAAATCGTTGCCCTCCCCGACCTGGTTTCACTTGAAAATAATTTTTAATGGCTTCTAATATTAATATCTATAATAAATGTGGAAAAAAAATTGGATCTGAGGCGGGGAAATAGAAATTGTTTCAAAATTTCTGAATTTTCGAAAAATCCGTGACAAGAAATCAAAATCATTGCCCTCCCCGACCTGGTTCCAGTTGAAAATAATTTCTTATGATTCCTGACATTAGTATTTTTAATAAATGTGGAAAAAATTGGATCTGAGGCGGGGAAATAGAAATTGTTACGTATTATATTTTTCGTCGAACAAACGTTGGTAACTTCAATTTCATCTTGAAAATAATTTTTAATGGCTTCTAATACTAGTATCTAATATTAGTATCCCCCCCCCACCCACAGTGAGACCAAACTGGAATTTAATGTTTATAATCGTCCAGAGTCCTCATTTCAAAAAATCAAAATCATTGCCCTTCCCGACCTGGTTCCAGTTGAAAATAATTTCTTATGATTCTTGACATTAGTATTTTTAATAAATGTGGAAAAAAAATTGGATCTGAGGCGAGGAAATTGATACGTATTATATTTTTCGTCGAACAAACGTTGGTAACTTCAGTTTCATACGAGACAGCTCGCAGCTAGGTTCGCTGTACGTAAGTTGACTTAAATTTCTCGAGCAGGAAATATTTCTCGCGCTTTACATTTCTAGTCGTTTCGTTAAGGGTTTTAATTTGTTTTATAGATAAGAATGTGTTTATTGTTGGTTTTTTAGGTGTTTTTAAATATCTGTTTATATTTTGTGTTTCCATTGCATTGTATTGCGTACAAATCATTTTTTGCAAAATATCATATTTGGGGTGATGTGCAACACTTTTTTCTTTTTTATACTTTACGTGCCATAACTGCGATCCACATGATGAATAAAAAATTCTGAGTTATTTTCCTTTAATTATATTCCTTATTCAGTTAGGAATGAATAAAAGATTAAACAAAAAAATTTTTTTTTCTTTGCTGAAATCTCCACTTTTCAGAGGTCAACTATACCTTAGTAAATTTTTTTGGCAGATTTCGATTAGTTTGCATTGAAAAATCCTAAAATTAATAATTAAAGAGATTTTCATCGATATTTATGCATTACATACCTTAATTTTACTGGTGTTGCACATCACCCCAACTTTTTTGGAAAATGCAAAAAAAGACGTTTTTGAAAAAGCGAAAAATTTGTAGGAAACATTTAAAATTCTGAAAATCTAATAATGGAGAAATATTCTATTATAATGCTTCTAAGTAATTCAATTTTGAAATATTTAAAAATTTAATTATTTGACATGTTTTTTGTCCAACGAGAAAAAACGTTGCACATCACCCCACAACACCCTGCTGATTAAACTGAACCAAAATTTTCAACCCCCCCCCCCACAGTGAGACCAAACTAGAATTTAATGTTTATAATTGTCCAGAGTCCTCATTTCTTAACCGATTTTACAATTTTTTTTACATGAAAGATTATAAAATTTGGAAGAGATTTCTCGAGGCCGAATTTCAAATTTCTATTTGTTTATAATAATTTTTTTATTTCAAAGTTTAACAAAAGTATCATTTTTTAAGAAAAAATTACCTCCAGTTGCTATAGTTAAATGCCATAGACAAAAAACTATTTTAAGATACACCTAGAGTACTCCCTAAACTATAAAAAAATTGAACTCGTAAAAATTTGCAGGTTATAAATTAATAATGTTAATAAGTAATTAAAGTTACAACGAATTACACCGGCACAAAAAAAAATTTCGAGTGCGAAGAGTGAAATATGGTAGGTTCTCTTTCTTAAGATGTATCTAAGAAGAAAAACGTGGTCGGACCTAAAGTTTGGTGCTGGTATTTTTTTGCACGCCTGGTAAGGTGGTTAAGTCTGAGAAATTGATTTCCATGAGAATTTACTTACTTTTTATATCTAAAACAGTCTTTTCGAATGTTTTTACTTTTGATTTGAATTCAGTGACTATAATTACATAAAAATTGAATGCATAAAAGAAATTAAAAATGTCGGATCCAAAATAGCAAACCTAAAATGGCGGATTTAAAAAAAAATTCGGATTTCCTAAAAAATCGTTGCTCGGGGGTTTTTGGGGTCAATGATTACAAATTTGAAGTCGGTTTTAAAAAATTAAAAATGGCGAATCCAATATGGCGGCCAAAAAAATTTTTAATTTCTCAGAATTGAATATAATGTCGGTTTTTACCAAATTTTAAATGGAAAATTGAATACGGCTTACGATTAAAATTTTTACATACTCTTTTGATTCTTTTTACTTACAATTAGGTGTTTCCTGAATAAATATTTATAAATTATCAAAATAATATTATTTTTTTTCATCCTGACAAAATATCGGCCGTTTTTGCAGTCAGCGCATATTTTGATTCTTTTTACTTACAATTAGGTGTTTCCTGAATAAATATTTATAAATTATCAAAATAATATTATTTTTTTCATGCTGACAAAATATCGGCCCTTTTTGCAGTCAGCGCCAGGTCAAATCTCTGCCAACTTATTCATAGCAAATTATAATAGCCAATATTAGGACGTAGCTCGGTCCAGTAATGGCACTTTAGTGGCACAAATTTTGTATCTTTGTTGAAAAAATACAATTGCCAATATTAGAACGTAGCTCGGCCCAGTAATGGCACATTAATGGCTAAAATTTTATATCAATGATGGCAAATTAAAATTGACAATAATAGGAGGTAGCTTGGCCCAGTAATGTCACATTAATGCCTAACATTTTGTATCTATGATGTCAAATTATAATTGCCAATATTGGGACGTAGCTCGGCCCAATAATGGCACAGTATCGGCCAGTGTAGTGTAGCTTATAAAAACCTTTTTTTCTTCCTCGACTTCACGTCAGAGTAGAAGAGTGGTCAGAGTACACTTACCGGGATGCAATCGGTGAAACTTCACATGGGATTGAAATAAATAGAGTTGATATAGTGGAGCTTTTTTTATCCTAAGTAAATATTCTCCTAGCTTTCTTTTGTTTGTTAAAAT